ATTTTCTAGCAGAAAGGAGAGTTTGAAGATGGAAAATTGAGATTTATCTTACAGAGAGATGTGTGAGGGAATTTATCTGTTTTAACCAGAACAGCACGCTCTTTGGAAATCAGCTTGTCCCAAACGGTACACTTTTGGGTGAAGGTCGACTTTACCTTTCTGAAGATAGATCAGGTCGGCGTGAAGTCCTACTTCCAGCCACTTTCAGCGTCTCCGTTGAGAACAGCTAAAATACCTCGAGAGTCGTGCGAGGTTATCCAAACAGAAGTTATAATTCCCAAAATCGTCTCTGGTTCAGCTTGTTTCGCCCTGCAGCAACCATGAATGCCTGCGTTTTGCATCCAGGTTGTCCCAAAATCTCTGCATTCTGGATTCCAAGAACTCTTCTGGAACTCTCTGGAACTCCTTGTGAACTCTACGTGAACTCTGAAACTCTACTGTTGAACTGGGAAGTTGCCACATTTAAACGGGCTATACTTCCGGTTCATTTGAGAGCTTTCTGATTCGTGGATGGACCAGAACAGAGGTGTGGTTTGTGATGTAAGGTGTTATGGAAAGTCAAGGATTGTTTAAGAACAGACAGAAAGATATCATGGAAAAACCAGACTTCGTGGTGCCACCTCTCCTGTATCTTGCTGTAAAAGTTAAACATGACATTTCTTTTCAGTAAACTTTTTAGTTGACTGAAGCTCGAACTTTAACACACTTACAAATTTGCTCATTGAAGACAGAAAAATCAAGAAATGCATATTACCCTGATTTCTTCTTTGAATGAGGAATAAAAATCATTACTACTGTTTAAGTAAATAAAAATGAGTAGTTCACTTCAACCTGTAAACATTGTTTGAACTAACACAATTTGATTATCAAAACATTTGTAAAATAGTAATGATCATAGAGAATTGTCTTTTCCACTTGATTAATTCAAGAAAGAAAGTCTCAGGATCGATCAACCTGTATTTCTAGATGCAGATCAATGAAATGACAGTTTCTGACCATATGATCCTAAGGTCATTGATTTGACATCAGGTCAAGTTCACTACAACTATACCAGATAAAATGTTATAAAATCTTTATATTACAATGAATTTGTTGTGTAAACCACAAGCGTAAATGCCCTGACCAGAATACAAACTATGCTTCTGTTTAGCTAGTTCTATCAGTAAATAAACTACAACTACTGCCTAACAAAGTAGTGAGGTCCTCTTATATCCCACAGTGTTCAGACAAGAGGCAAGCTTCAGATCAGTAGAATGGCGCTAAAACAGGAAATGACGTCATTCAGCAGGATGCATTTAAAACTAGTCTGACACCATCAT